TCAGTGTTCTAAAGAGGTGTGCGTTCAGTTCGCTTTCTGTTGCCGCCTTCGCTTAACCTTGGGACGGGCCGTTTTCCCACTCTGCTGAATATCCTCCTCGGAGGAGACCGGCCCGCAGGGCGAGGCGGAGACGCGGTGTTTAGTACTGGCATCGACTGGTACTTGTTCACTGGTGTTTAACTGGGATGGGCAGTGTATAAACGCTGGACCGCAGAGTATCTGACAGCTGTACGTGTGGAGGGCTGGCCGGACACGGAGGGGACTGCCCCTATGCGATGACCAAAAGGCGGCCTGACGGGAACATTTTTAATAACCATACGAAAGGGGGGGGAAAAGGTAAGTAAAAAACGCAGATGATTCAGTAACCCGTTTGGTAGCTTCGAAGAAGTTAAAGGGGAGTAACACAAAATTTAAAATTCAAATTAGAAAACGAACTCTTGGAGATACTAGTAAGATATGTGACAGGCGCCTAATGCTACATCAGCTGGCTGTTGCTATTTCAAGGGTTATGATCATTCTGATGAAGATATTTAATAGGAGATGGTGTTAATCTTAGAAATACTTCTCTGAGCCTCAGTTTCCTAAGCTGTTAAATTTTTAGCGTAGTGCCTGGCTAAATAAATGGTAGCTTACTGTTGTTGTTGTTTTATTTCTGCAATATTATAGCCCATTGGAGGGCTTCCCAGAGGTGATAAATTGAGGTACCTTACAAGATAAAACATAGAATTACTATGATTAAAACAGAGACATCGGACTTGGCCCATCGAGTCTTGATTAACAACTTCTTATACAATTGCACATTCAGATGATTTAGTCAGATTTGGAATGTTACCTGGTTACTGTGACCAAAGCAGAGGTCCCAAGGTTAGCCAGTATTGCCCAAGGTCATATCACAAGGAGCAACTTGTTTTGCCAGAATAAGAAACACTGCTAAGAAGGTGATGATCCTGTTGGTAGTTTAAAAATGTAAATACCAAAAAGAATGATTTTTTTTTTTTTCTTGAGATGGAATCTCTCTCTGTCGCCAGGCTAGAGTACAGTGGTGTGATCTCGGCTCACTGCAATCTCCACCTCCCGGGTTCAAGCGATTCTCCTGCCTTAGCCTCCAGAGTAGCCTGGACTACCCGCACCCGCCACCACACCCAGCTAATTTTTGTATTTTTAGTAAAGACGAGGCGTCACCATGTCGGCCAGATGGTCTTGATCTCTTGACCTCGTGATCTGCACGCCTCGGCCTCCCACAGTGCTGGGATTACAGGCGTGAGCCACCGCGCCTGGCCAGGAATAATTATCAGAGGTGAAACCCAAATGAAAGAAGGGGGATTTTTTTTTTT